ACCGCGGCGGGGCGGGTTTCGCCTCCCCCCCCACTGAAAGGGCGAGCGCCTGGGGATCCTGCCTTCGCAGCCCCCTTCCCAAAGGAAAAGTAACTTTTGGGTGCAGTCAGCAGAGAGTCCGGCTCCGTCGCCGTCCCCAGGGCCGGATCCTGCCAGCATCACCTCGTCCCCACACCACCGTGATGCAGCTGGATCCTTCCACCTGCTGGAAAGCCCCGGCTCGCACAGCCGCGGTGACGCTCGCCCTTGGACCGCGGTGGGACCAGTGCTGCCGCGGGGCTGGAGGAGAGGCAGGAGCCGTTTCCCGCAGGCAGGGTGGATGCTGGAGGCTGGCAGGGGCCAGGCAGGGCCTGGGGGGCCATCACCTTGGCACATCTCTCCGCAGCGGGATGGGCACGCTCAGCACCCAGGGTTGGCCAAGCCTTGAGCGAGGACGGGCTTTGATGGATGTGATGTGACAGGCAGAGCAGATCTCAGATGGCTGGAACAGCTCCTGAGCGGCATCAATCCAGCCGTAATGAAAAGTCGTTATGGATTGAAATGCCACCGATGGGGAAGCGCCTCCCTCTCGTCGATAGGAAGCCACCGATGCGGTGCCACGTGCCGGGGCGAGGAAGGTGCCATGGAGGAAGGCTTGGCCACGGCATGGACCGCTTTGCCGTGGGGATGGAGTGGGTGGCCTTCGTGCAGGCTGTGGTGGCACTCCAAGGTTGGACTTGAGGATGAGTACCAGCCTGAAGGATGCAGATGTGGGTCCCTGCAGGTCACCCGCTCCATCAGCCACCAGCAGCGCGGGTCTCCCTTCCTTGGAGCTCAAATGGAGGAAGCATCCCTGCCAAAGGCTTCTCCCACGGGACGGCGGGGTCAGAGACCTGGCCCAGCTCTAGGAGGGCTTTAGCAGGATTTGCCATTGTGTGTCACCAAGGAGGGTCAGAGGCACCTTACCTGTGTGTAATGCACGGGTACCTGAGCGCGTACGGATGCCATACCCCAGCCACCGTGCTGGGGAGCCACCAGCACCCCAGCCGTGGCACCCAGCGGGGTGCAGAGGGCTGGCAGCCAAGCTGCCCTGCCTGCACGGGCAGGGCGAGGAGCTGTGAGCTACCCTGCCTGCACGGGCAGGGCGAGGAGCTGGCAGGAACCCGGGGTGGGCTGGAGCTCCCGATGCCCCAGGGATGCGGCAGGATCAGAGCTGGGATGCAGCTGATAACACCGTGGTCTGGCTTTTGTGCTGGATGCACAGTGAGACAGAGGGTGCCAGCACCCACCCCGCACAGGCACCTACTTGTAGGTGCACGAGCCCAGGTCGCACGTGTTCGTGCGTGGGGGTATCTTTGCCCTGTGCCGGGCTGACAGCTGCGCTTGCTCGCAGGTGCAGCCTGTGGCCTGTGAGAACAGCGAGGACAGGAGCATCACCCGCGTGGACGAGGGGCTGGAGGACTTCTTTGCCAAAAGGCTCATCCCAGAGGAGCTGCCGTAAGCCGGGGGGGGGGGGGGAGGGAAGGGTCCCCTGGGACCCACCTAGCCCCAGGATTTCACCTACCCTGCAAACGCCGCTGGTCCCGGTGCCAGAGGGATGCCGGGGAAAACATCCCTTCTTACAGCAGGCACCCAGCTTGTGCATCTCCCCGGGGCATTGCCAAGGGCAAGGCTGGTGGGAGAGGGCTGGGATGCGGCTACGGGGTGCAGGATGATGCAGCCAGCACCCCGCTGCCACGAGCCTGGGTGCCTGGGGCCTGTCCTATAGCAGGGAGGCAATGGGGCAGCACCCATAGGGTCCCCATGCTGGGAACAGCTGCCCTTGCCGGGACAGCATCATCTCAGGTGGGGTGTCCAGGGTCTGGATCCATCCCTTTGGGGTGGGGGGTGGGGGGAATGATCCCTAGCCCCTTGGCAGCCCAGAGCTCACCTTTCCCAATGCTTCATCTCTCCTCAGCCCCACGGCTCCGGAGACCTGCCCGGGATCAACCCCTCTGGCCCCCTCCGGCTCCCGCACCCTCAAGAAGAAAATCGGGAATTTTTTTGCCTTCAAGAAACCCAAATCCAGCCGGGGCTCGAGGTGTGAGAAGGAGCCCGAGGGCGGCCCCACTGCCCCCAGGAGCAGGCGCTCAATGCTCAGTGACATTTTACGGGCCCCCAGCAAGGCGGGCGAGGCGGGCAAACCGCTGAGTAAATCGGAGGAGGGAGGGCTCGCTGCCGAGCCCCGGCCGGAGCCCGAGCACTGCCAGACCCCCGACTCTGCCCGCAGGATCCGGCCCAAGTACTCGCGGGAGGGCAAATCCCAGTCGCTCATATTGCTGTCTGGGGAGGATGAGGATGCTCTGGGGGTCAGGCATGACAAGGTAAGCACTGTCACCGTCACCGAGCCACTGCCGGTGACCCTGCTGTTCGGCTCGCCTAGTGGGTGCTGCTCCCACCCAAGGGTGCTGGTGGTGGCGTCAGCTGGGCACTGCAGGGGGACGTGGGGACACTGGAGCAATGGCTGGGGACATCCCCGCTGGGTTGTGGCCATGCCTCCATCTTCCAGGGGCGCGGCTGGGGTTGGGGACCTGGGTGCCCTGCAGGCAGGCAGGCGGGTGCTGTGGGTGCTGCGCTGGGTGCCGTGCCCCTGGCAGGGCTGTGTCTGTCCTGCAGAAAAGGCACCTGGAGAAGAGCGAGGGGGAGCTGCCCGGCTCCTTCGAGCAACGCGTGCAGGTCATGCTCCACCGCATTGGTGTCACCAAGGGCCCGGCCACCGAGGGCAAGAAGCAGCAGGTGGGGAGCAGCTCCACTTTTGGGACAGATCCTGCACCCAAAGGGCGGGTGGAGGTGGTGGTTCATGGCATGGGGGGGTCCCCCGGCCAGGACCGGCAGCACCCAGCTCTGTGCCACCGCTGCCTCGGCCTCTGTCCTGTCACCTAACCCTCCGCAAGGGGACCGATACATGGGCTCCTATGCACTGCATGGTGTCTGTCTGTCCCTCCTTCCCTGGCATGCACCCATCCCCTGCAGCCACCCCAGAGCTCAGCAGCACCCTGCCCTCTGCCACCCATCGTCCCTGAGGGCGCTGCCACCCTGACCCCCCTCCTTACCAGGTTTCTTTCCCCTTGCAGAGCAAAGACAGCGAGATCAAGAAAGCCGGCTCAGATGGTGAGGGGCTGCATCCTCCTCACCCTGATCCCTACCCAGCTGGGCACCCACAGGGTGGGCACGGGCAGGCCCCCTCAGGCTCCCAGCTGTGGGTCCCACCACGTCCCCCCTCTCGCTGGGTGCTGGTGGCACGGGGCAGACCCCAGCTCACTGATGCTGCTGGTGGCTTGTGCTTGCAGGGGACATCGTGGACAGCTCTGCAGACTCCCCCCCCTCCCTGAAGGCCCGTACGCACTCCGTGTCCACAGGTGGGTCACCAGTGGGTGCCAGGGGGGTCACACCGGCCCCCAGGGCAGAGGGCTCTGTCCCCTCCGCTAGCACTAAGCAGCGCTGTATGGGGACCGGAGCCAACGGGGACTGGTGGGCACGGGCACCCTCGGGAGGGTGCCCTGCACCCATGGGTGCCCAACCCTGGTAATGACGGATGGAAACCCAACCCTTTGCCCTGGGTCCCTGGGGTGGCTGCAGGCGGGGTCCCAGCACCAAGAACCATCCCTTGGGGCCGTCACTGCCAGGCACCCACAGCTCTGCCTTCCCTTCCCCTGCAGACGCACCCTTCCGCAGCCCGGCCGCTGCAATGGAGCCCAGCGCCGGCCTGGCCGAGCCCCGGCCAGCCTGGAAAGCCCTGGGGAGGCAGCTGCCATCCGAGCCACAGGGCACCAGCTCCGACCAGCCCCGGTGCTCCTTTGTCCTGGCCGAACCCAGCGGGCTGCCGGAGCCCGGGGGCCGGGAGGGCTGGAGCAGCAGCCTGCCACGGCTGGGGAGA